TTTCAAACCACAATGAATTGTAAATTATATATAATATTGAATTCCAAGATCAAACAAATTTTATAAAATTCTGTATAAAGAAATTTTCATTTGTCCTAAATTAACAAACGTTAATACGTAAAAATTTATATATTTTACTTTTGTAATTAACGTTTGGTACTTTATGTGTAAATATTTGCTACTGATCGTGTAAACTCTAAAAAATAAGGAATGTATTGGAAGCTAAAGGTCTCTATTACTTATTAGATCCATACTTCGTATAATATCTTAAATTATAATCTTCAAAGTAATCTCATCTTTTCATATTGCAAACGCGCAAAATTACTACTTCTTTAGATCAAGTCGAAGCAAGAAGTCAGTAAAGTCCATAATTGCCGATATTATAGTATTCTGATTACTCATGAGCATACAATCCTGTTCATGTTATCGAGCCAATGTTGTGATTGATTATTGTTTACTATGATAGTTATAAGAAATAAACTTGTAATATTTGTAAAATATCTTTGATATTTCTTCCTACGCTATAAGAAAGACTACAAAGAAAGAAAGAAGACAAGAAAAAAAGGGTCAAAATCTTATCGACATTCGAGTTTTAAATAAAATTTGTCTGTACATAATGTTATGTACCGATAAATTTATTCGTGGATACTGGAAATCCGATTTTTTAATGAGTTTTTGCGATATATTTTTCAGCACGGATCATTGCCTGCGTTAATGACGATTGTGTCTTTCGTGGGAATTTATTTTGAACGCCGCGGTCGCGAAGCTAATCAGAGCGAGGCGAGCGAAGAAATTTGACACATTTCTGTAACCCAAACATTCCATAATCCAATAATTCTTCGATCATATCGAAATGGGAATGATAGAGCAACGATCGGAGCAGGCTTAAAATTATTACGTCCTATCATTGATCATTTTTCAATTGAGGATCGAGTGTAATGCGCGAGGTCGCACGAAATGGACTAATTTCTCATGATAAGGCACATTTATCATCGTTTATCTTATTTCGCTTATTTTATTATTTCGCTGGAATTGTGGATCAAATGCATGAAATGCATGAAATCTCAACAACGCGAACTCGTGATCAGACATCTGTACATCTAATCAGAAGCAGCTCCTATTGATGGCTCTCGCGGAGATAAAGATATCAAATTGATTGATCTAGTTGTCATGCGTGCGTCTCCTTTGTTCATAATATTTATGTAAATACATCAAGAAAGAAAGAGAGAGAGAGAGCCAGCTCGCCACGCACTAATGACATCTCCCGACGCATAGTAACCCCGCGCTGCCGCAGATTTGCCTTGCCTTGCCTTGCCTTGGCTGCGCGATCGGCTTGGCGGACGGCTTCTGTCAATTGTTCGATGCTCGCGCACCCGCGTTGTTCGCACTCTTCCTCGACGATCTGCTTGGAAAATTCACGACATGGATAACAGCAGAGATAAATCCGCCGACGTAGAAATTCTCGCTGTGGTCGAACAAAACAACATAGCTAACGAGTAAGTCTTGTTGTGACAATATATTTTGATGTTCGGGTATAACTTTTTTTTTTTAATTTCTTGTTTGTTAACAGAATTAATTTAATTCGTAATCAATTGAGTTCGTTGAGCATTTATACTTTTGATACTTTTGCAAAAAAAAACGTGCCTTTCTTAAAATGATTTTTTTTTCCTTGTGGATAACAATTGTTCTGATAATATACAGTTTACAGAATTGAAACAATTTAAAACAATACTAAAATGAGGAAAATAATTAGGAAATGAAGAAAAGAGTGCTTCTTAAATTAATTCTTGAGTTAAAAAATTAAAAATTTATTTTTATATATTTATTACTAAAATTTTATTATAGTACATAGTACATAGTACAATTATTTATATATATATTTTTTTGTTTTCTGAATTTTTTAAATTGCATTACTTTTCTACAAGAAGTCCATTATTACGATAGCAAATTATCGAGTATCGACCAAACTCACCAAACGTACGCGTTATCAACAGTCATAAATTTTGACAAAAAATGCAAAGTAGTTTTCATGTCGACTGTTATTGTTAGAAAGTTTATGGATGGCAATACTAATATAATTTATCGAAAAATCTGAAATAACGCGTTAAATTATTCAGGGACATTCAATCATTAAAAATCCTACTACCTTTATACTTTTTTATTATCGGAGCCATAAACGTAGTTTTTGATAGACAGTCGGAGGTCATCCATTAATAGATATTATTTCTTTCTGACTGTCCAACATTCTGTGTGACGATCTTTTTTCTTGCGATCACGTTTCTGTATAAAAAGGCAACTCTAAGTATCCAATTATTTTACACGAAACCCTACCCTTCGTCTTGTAATATCCTACCAAAAGAATTACAAAACATCGTTGCACCAGATAGCAGCCAATAGTTCTGATCAAACACTACCGTGAAAATGGACTTCAGTTGCACCGTTGACGAGTAAATAACAAGTTTAAAATTGTTCTTAGCTTTTCGCTTTCAGTATTGTTATTTCAATTTATTAAAATTGCTAAGTTTGATTTCGACAAACGATTCAATTTTAATTTACTCTAATCAGGCAATCGCATGATCCACGATTTCAAAACATTACCGGGATCTTGGATAGCACGGAGACGTACGATTTAGAATGGAAAATGTATTTCCGTATAACATTGTGTTGATTTACGAGTTTTTATCATGTGAGCGTAGCTTTAGATAAGACCCAGTTAGAGATAATTTAATAAGTATTTTCATCTTCTCGTTTTACGCACATTCATTTTTCCGAGTATCTCATAACACACGTGTATTTGCATCACATCAATTGATCAATGATGCACAATGGAAACCATGGCATCCATGCACACGACTATCAGCATTTAAAAAGAAGTACACGTAATAGGCAGCATATCTATTATATTTCATCGCACGTCAAGAAGAAGACTGTCTATATTTTTATGCTGCGAGTGAACACGATTTGTCGTACAATTACAAAAGTTAAATAAACATTTTTTTACACTAAATTTGAACTTAGCAAGAGAAAAGAGAATATCTATGTAAATATTGTACTGTTCTCCTTCAGCTTATTTATCTTCTTTTAAATTGTCTCTTTCGTAACTGCTTTATATTTTGTGTTGTCTTCTTCGAAAGTATCAAAATTACTAAGTTCGATTTCGTAAGCTACCATTTCCATGTCTCCCTCATTGAAATTTTTATCTTATCTAACACCGGGTCTAAAATAAGTCGATAGTCCTAAGTCTTATCGGTGAATCGGTGAAATTGAAGTCAAATTGACCAATAGTCAATTTATACAACTGAAGCTCGGTTTTTCATTATTTAACTTGTCATTAAGTTTAATCTGATGTTCACCCAATGAGTTTCTTTCATGACATCATCATAAATAAAGCCTTCCACTTTGAATAAAACATTAGGCTAAACATAAAGGTGTGTTCCATTTGGCGCTCACAATGCTCACGAGCATTATCTGTCTTTGTAATATTTGATAAACAATAAGAATAAAATGATTCTATAAGCATTTTAAGTATCAAGTGGAAGACATCCTATGGGTCACAAAAATTTAGGCAGTAAAACGTAAGAGCGAATTGACCAATTAAAGTAGGCCATCCCTGGTGAAAATTTTTCTCATTATTTTTATACGAATATCATATTTTTATACGAATTGAAATATTTTTTAGAAATACTCAGAAATATTCGGAAAGTTTATATCTTCTCTCAGAATTTTTCATACAAGTGAATTCTGAAATATTCTGAAATTTCTTATCCCATAATTTAAAAAAAAATATTTTTAAATTTTTTAGATTTTAGAACATTTCATCAAAAATTATACAAAAAAATCTTAAAAATCTTACGATATTTTATAATTAACATATATGAAAAATTCTGAGAAAAGATGTAGATTTTTTGAGAAATGTTCCAATTCGTATAAAAAATGTGAGAAAATTATAAAATTATATAGAAATTCTGAAAAATTATATTAAAAATTCAGAGAAAAATTTTCACCAGGGATCCAGCAAATCCAATATGTTAATTTCCTTACGTCTTACTACTTAAGATTTTGAATGTTATAGTCTTAATTAACAATAAAATTAGAAATACGATAGAGATACGAGATTAACGATACTGATTTTCTTAAGATTAACCAAATTCAATTTTCTTCCTTTTCATTGGTCCAAACGACTCGCTGTACAATTAACGACTTATTGTGAATGTGAAAAATTATAATAGTCATCTACTTAAATTAAGACTTAAGATTTTCAACTACTAATTCATTGTAGACCCGGCGTTGATTCTTTTACAAACTCATTATGATAATTTTGGAAGCCACGATCGTCAACAAAAGCTGTTGTGATGAAATCTCTAAATTTTTTCAAGAGCAAATCTCAATTTTCGCCTGATCTTTGTTAAGACAATCTGTTAAAATTTAACGCAGTCGGGCATGACGTGATCGCAGGAAGAGCCTCTTGATTATGAAATCCGCGCGATCGACAATCGCCTCTTTGAATCGCCGCGTGCTTCTGCATCACGTGTATCAGCAATACCTCTTTGGAAAGTTACATGAACGTGCCCGCGTGTTTATTTCACCTTTACCATTCGCTCAGTCTCAATTCGCGCTCCATGGGGCATGATTCGTGATATGATCGAAGATTTTCGCTTAGACTCGTTCAATGGGATCTCTCACTATAATCCGTATTAGTGGAGTTTTAAGAAACACATCGCCGATCTAAGGAATTTTTCCCTTTTTTTTATAAAAAAAATCGTCGAAAATTGACATTTCACGTCAAGAGCATTGTGCTGGACTTTTGAAAGAACGTTGATCTTGTTTGGTCTCGTTCGGGATTTCGAGACTATCGATTGATAAGACGCATACTATAATACAACCAGCGCGATTATGGCGAAGACATCAGTGCGAAAGAAATAAATGACTATACTTGCCAATAAATCGCACGAATTATTCGCACGATTAATCCACTGCGATAAACCGGATCCGACTTGTGAAAGCATCTGTTGACACCAAAAAGTACATGCGGAGTGATCGTCAAACTCTAAGATACAAGATATATCGGTGATACTTATAGATATAACAAAGGTGGGGGGAAGTGTTCAGAAGTTTTAAAAACTAAGCAAGGTGCGATAAGAAGAGTTTTATCTAAAAAGCGGCTAATTCAATCAGAATTTCTTAAATCGGAGCTACTTTTTCCCCAACGATTTCTCTCGGACGAGTTCAAAGACTCGAAGTTACTAACTATTTTTTACTAAAAAATAGTTAGTGTTCTTTACGAAGGCGAGTGTGGGACGAAAGCTCGACGGGAGAGACGTATCTTCTCCAAATGGAGATAGAAGAAAGAGACGGTGAGAGAAGATAGAGCAGCGAGTGAGAGAGCAAAGTATTAGTGTAAGTGGGGATTTCTGATAAAGACAGACTATCTGGCAAGGAAAGGCCAGAGAGACTGAGGAGACTGGGAAGGAAAGATGTAAAAAAAAAAGGAAAGAAAAAGAGAAAGAGGTGGAAAGAGAGTGTTCGTATATAAGAAGAAGATAGACCGATCGCTAATGTTAGATCTTTTATCTGTCAGACGAACGGACCCAGGCTGACCACGGGTCTTCTTCCACCGAAAGAGCGGCAAGCCGTGCCTTCGTTCTTCGTTCGACGAGTGACGGTTGCAGTCGATTCGCGTCTCTCTGATCGTCCGGAGGACAACAATCCACACGACTTCACTGATTACAACACGTACCAGTCACCGTGCCTCCTTCCTCGACCGTCGCCTCCATCCAAGGCGGTTTCTCCGCCTCGGACGAATCGCAATTTTGTCTTCCTCTTTTTTTTCTGGCATTCATCTGGCACTCGACTCGACTCGACGAAGGATCGCTGAACGGATCCCGTTCAAGGAGGACCAACACGGCGACGTCGCTCTATCGGCGGCCGACCGACTGCGAGCTGACTGGATGAGCTGGATCCACGAACGCTCCACCTCGGGATCGATCATGGATGACGAGAAAATCAAGCTGTGAGTTTTTTCTCCAGTCGCAATCTTTGGTCCTCGCTGTGCGCGAGTCAGGTGAGATATGGCGAAGGAGAGATCGCACGGGACCAGCGAGTGGAAAATTTCGCGACATCGCAGAAACTTTAGGAGAAGGGGCTACTGTCAATCTGTCAGATTGCGCTCCGTATACTACGGGTTTCGGTTTGCTCTGCAGCTTTGAAGGATGCAGCTGTGGCATTTCGATGCGTGACTAATTGTTTTCCGTAATTTCCATGAAGAGCTTGATTTTTTAAGAGAGATGACGGTGCTGCGTGAATGTATGACAAGTGGTGTCCGTTGGAATCAGAAAAATTGGAGTGTGTTGTTTCTTGAGAGAGTATCTTTTGAAAAATTATTGAGCTTCCCAATTAATGTTCGCACAAGAATATTGAAGATGTTGAGCTTCTTCTCTTTTCGGAATATATTGCTCGATATCGAATTATATATTGGCAGACGGAAAATATGGGATAATCGTTAGCGAAATCGATTGGAAAATTAACCCTTTGGAGGAAGAAATTACGTACACGCATATCGTCAATCATCATTAACATATTCATGATATGATCATTGAAATCTTTCGATAACACATTCATAAATGTTTTCGTAAATATTTTGATACCTCATACCTTATAAATATTTTGAACAATTTTTTTGCATTTATATTTGAGACGTAAATCTCTTTTGGAAAAATGTCAAGACGCCGAGTTTCTAAATTATCAAATCTGTTTTTTTATTTTTATGAAATGGATACATATTTGATATTTGGTAAAAGCGAGAAAAAAGTTTTAGTATAGTCCAGTGCAGCAATAAAAAAACATATTAATCTCTCACAAATTAGAATTTTTTCTCATTCATAAAAGTTCTCATTCATAAAAAAAAATACGTTTTACATAACATCGCGGAACAGCCTTGAAAGAATCTAATATAAATATAAAAACATTGCGGAATGTAATTAAAAAATTCTTATTATTTCTTGATTATAATCAACTGTCTTTTAACATTCACACACACTCGTCACATTGTCGGCGAGAAAGCCTTTCCTTTTTCGATTTCTCTTTCTTCGGGCAATGTCTCCGCGTGTTAAAAAGTCACAGAGCTCGCTCACTGATTGCCGAAATTATGCGGCAATTTTACCGTACGCGATATGCATTGTAGCTCTGCAAACACAAGGCCGTGATTCCCCTTCACTTTGCCACGCGACAGGATCTCAATACAATGGTCGCACGCGAGGATGTACAACAAGTTTCATGAGCATTAAAAAAAAACCTAGACGTTTCTTTCCATTAAACTGTCGTGCGTAATTACAGTTCTCTCATATAAAAATAACAAATCGGGTTTTTCCACGAAGTTATCTACTCGAATCTCCGCGGTACGAGACGTAAATTTCTATTTTTCCCAACACAGTTCTTTTTTTATACGTTAATAGACTATCATATAGTCTTTACAACTCGTTTTGCTATTCTACGAAATTGGAATCCCGAAATAAAGACAAGATCCTGGCGAGGAAAATCATTTCGTTCTGCTGACAACTTTCATTGCTCCGTTTTCTGGTGTTTCCCGCCCGGATATTTACGATAAATCATTGAACTCGGATAAAATTGCGTCAACATCATTTACGTAAATCATAATTCCGAGAAACTACATAATTATGAGGAACTACTCGTGCGAAAACGATAAGGGGAGTGCACTCTCGCATGATTCCCTTCGGTTTTGTTCATCACGGAATATTTTCAGTTAATGTCGGAATAACGGGATCAGCTTTGACCAGAAAATATCTCGGTGTCCGTGGACCTTCAAAATGTAGCCTTGAAATACTTTGCGTCACCGATGTCTCTTTTTTGTTCTCTCGCATTGGTAATCCACGTAAAACGTGAATGGATTCATTGTTATACATTTGTATTCGTATATATATATATAAATCCATTAAATGATTTTAAAAAAATTAGAGCTTTACACTCTCCAGCGATTGATTAATGATACATTTGCGTTTGTAAATCCATTAAATAATTTAGGATTAATCAAAATATACACTCCAGTGATGTCAACGGTACGTTTGACATTTATATCCGATTTAAATAATAAAATAATTATTTTTTATTATCTTGTATCAGGATGCTTTGGCTTTTTTGCTAACACGATTTGTGTCACCAAATATCAAGAAAGATAAAATATTTTAGTGTCAACTTGTATCACTAAATAGAATAAATAAAGAAATACACTCTTTAGAATCTATACCTTCTTCAGTTTCATATTAAAAGACGTGTACAATCTTTGGAATGAACATTATACATGGAAAGATACTTTTAAGTGTGAAATATGAAAATTATTGGCTTAACCGACTTGCATGAAAGATGCCAATATACATATATAATAACAAAACAATCAAACATGTATGCAGAAAATCTATTAGACTACCTTCTCTAAAGACCAACGATTAGATCGTACGTCATTAGAGAAAGAGCGACCATCAAACGATCGTTTAAAGCACGATCGTTTGACGATCGTTTGCGGTTGACTTCTCGAGTTTCTCTCTCGTCAGCGCATCGTACCTGTAAAACCGCGTATACCGCAAGTTTTTTTTCTTTCTTTTTTATCCCATTATCGACCCGTCACGCTTTCCAAGAGTCGAGAATAACACATCGAGTTAATTTATGATTGTTTAACCGAAACTGTGTTGTACATAATTTTCGTGTTGCATGGATAAGATAAAGGACTCTGATGAGCTTCCTAAACTATTTTTACTGTCGACATCAAACTATGTTCGACATGCTTGTTATCTCGCGTTAAGTCACGAGTAACAAGTAGTGGCGTTTGCGAAGTGCATAATTTTATAGCCCGTGTAACAATCACGTTTAATCGCGGAAGAAGAGTGCACTCGCGTGTGCATTTGTCATGCGATCCTGAAACAATAGGCGCAGGGATCGCGCTTGCTCGAGTTTTCTTTCTGGAATTATCAGTCGGGACATTTAAAAAAATAATCGTTTTTTTCCAGACAATATTAACATTTAATGTTTGATATACTATCAGCTTGTTTAATTATTTATCGTATTTATTCCTGCACTTTGTTAACAATCTCTTTTTCTGTGCCTGGGAAAAAAAATGTTATATATATATATATGGACATATTTCATGTATAATTATGTATAATTGTATATAAAATATGTCAATTTTTTTTATATAAGTTTATATAATTTTATATGATTATATATGAAACATTTTTTCCCAGGTTATTTGATACTCGTTCTTAGGTTCTTTAGCTGCTTAAACAACTGTTACATAATTAGACTAATTTTATTAAGAGATTTTATTTTATTACTAATCTTATGAAAAGTTTGCAAATTCACAAGAATTCTTATCATATCAGCAATACATTTTTTCTAACGTCTTGTCGACGCCCATGCAAGCAGTTCTCTCTGTCTTGACGAGGCAAGACTGTTGTTCTCGTATTATCACAGTATAATTAATACGAAACTGACATGGTGTCGGATAGCACGACGTACGGAGCGACGAATCGACCGTTGTCAGTTATTAATCCGCTGGTGCACCTTATTATTTAAGAACATACGACGATAATCCGCAAACCGTTCAATCGATCTGAAATATAATTACCATAATAATAAATAATACTTCAAAAAACATATAAGTAATAATAAGATATATATAATAGAATGATGACTTTCAAAAGCCAATAATTTCGTGTAAAAGTCCCCTATTGTTATATTTCCGTATTATAGTCGCTCAAATGATAACAAATGAAAAGTTTCCATACAGTAGTGAAACTATTTGTCATTTCCTCATTAAGTGGCGAACGTGGGAGAAAAAGAGATAAGCAACTTCGTGCGTATATCGTTAATAAAAGGAAGTATGTTGCTCGAGATACGCATCGATGCGAGTCCTCGCGTTGTCCTCGCGTCTCATCCGCGGTATCGGCAAAAATCTACAGATTATACACTACCGGCAAGTACCTTGATTGAACGACGGAGACCGTCACGAATCTTTATGAATATCTGATTACCGTGCCATATTTGTTCGTCTGTACATTCTGAAGGACAAATTTCTGAGGGTCAGCCTTCCCTTTCCGCGCCGCGAACGCTGCCTCTAAAAAGATTAAGGCTACATGATAAAAATATATATATATATAGGTGTAAAAATATATAATTCGTGTTGCGATGAAAATTATGAGTTTATCAGTTTAACGAGCGATTAAATATTATAGATTGCAGATAAAAGTTAAATGATATTTGTTAAAGCTTAAATGAATTATGCAAATATATTATTACATACAATGAATAAAATGTCTGTGTGAGCGTCCGCGATAATTATTAGTGTGTGAATAATATATTTATAAGAATTCTTTATTATTTATAATTCTTTACAAAAATACATATTGTTTATGCATCGCAGATGCTCATATAAGCATTTTACTTGTATTAATGTATTTTTGAAAATTACTTTTATTATAATTTTTTGTTATGTTACTTATACATAATGTGTTATATACATATGTACGTATTAATGATATAATATAAAAATGTTCGAAAAAAATTCAAGATGCGACTTTTCACACATTTTTAAATATGATAGCGTATGCGGTATCGCGAAATCTTCGTCTTCATCGATATTCTTCGATCGAGTGATTTTGCACACGGCATCATCGTAATTGAATCACAGACGGTGACAGAGGAACTCACAGGTACATGTGAAACGAATACGCATTTACACACGGCATTATTGAGATATCTGGCTAATAGATAATAGCATTCTGTGAAAAACGATAAGAATTGGTCAAGTATTTACGTATATAATGTGTTGCTGTTGTTAAAGAGTGTTACAATGTCAACAATTTATATTGTGCATATAATTGTGTCTCCATCAGATTTTTTACAGAATTGCTTACTAATTAAAATAGAGTAAAAAAACATGTACATGAGAATCATTTTCTTTTTTCTTTCTTTTTTTCCAAAATATTGATTATTCTTGATGATGTCACAAACACAAATATTTCTTTTTTAATATATTTTAAATGTATAAAATATATTTAATAATGTTCTCAATATTTCTAAAAAATATGGATTATTTTTATAAATCTGCATTTAGAAGTAAATATATCTAATTTGTAAAAAATAAAAAATAAGGAATATTAAGAAACCTTTCTTTATCTCAAATTAATCAAATTACGCAAATTATATAAGTTATTTTCGATAAATCATAAATCAGGAAATAAATTCTGTTACAAGTTCGATTTTATAATTTTATAATTTTCACTATAATTTGAACGTATAAAAAAACTTGATGGACTTTATACTGAGTTCCATATATACTGCTCTTATCATATTAATCAATACGAATCTTTGTATAAATCTTATCAAAGAAATATAAAAGATAGTCCTGGGATTGATATAGATTTCGTAATTTGACAAATAAAAAGCTACCGAAATTATTTTTACGTATCCAAAGAATTCCAATAATATAAAATTGACATGATAAAAAAGATGATTGACTTAAAATAATTATTAAATATAAATGACTCTACAATGATATTATTTTTTTCTCGAATCATCGACGGCAAGCTATACACGATTATTTCATTAATACATAATCATTTTCTTCCACTACGCAAAGTCGTATAAGGAAATCATCGTAATCATCTTAATGAAGTAAAAAAATCACTCTTCTGTAAAAATGATTTTTTGTATCATTACTTTAATAATATTCAACTGTATACAATAGAAATTTATAATGATGTATTTGCAGATTTAAAGATAAGGCGATTTATGGCTATGGAACGAGCATTCCCCCGAATAACAATGAGGACGACGAAAATGAGATGTCACCACGGAAGGTCATCTTTTGCGTTCATGGAAAATTGTCAGGTTGTTGTACGGTTGTGAAAGGCTCTGGCGACGAAAATATAGTTGCGGATTATCAACAAAATTCATGTACGTTTTCTTTGCGAGATATACAAGTATAATGATGCGATTTAAGATTTAAGGAGCCTTTCACTTTTGCCAGCCATAAAATTAATCTATTCTTATGAATTTTTTAAAGGAAGATTCAAAAAATGATGGCATAAAAAAATATTTAAATAAAAAATGTTTTTGTAAAAAAAATTGTTATTTTTTAGTTTGTAAGACATCAAATTGTTCAAAAACTTAATTGTATTAGGTGTTGGAATTAATTCGTAGCGTTTTTTAATGAAAGAATGTTATTTATTTCACATGAGCATTAAAAAATACATTAATGAAAGTACTTCCCATCACTTGTAAAACGCTACGAATTAATTCCAACACCTAATAGTTCTTGCGCAAAAGTTAGGAAACAAAAAAAAACAGGAGATTATCTTAATTAGTTTTTTAGTTATCATTTCTACAAGGTTAAAAACATTTAAAATTTCAAAAAAAATGTGTTTTAGTTTCACTCCGGAAGTTTTAATGTACTATGGTTATTCTTGTTAAAAAAATTTTCCTTTTTTTCATAAAAGGTGTTTTATACCAGTTTGTTCAGTCACCGAGCAATTCTAGTTTCTTTTAAGAAAAATGTGCGACGATTCTTCATGAGATGTCTATTTTTTGGATCAGCATATATTTTTGCTATTTGATTATTTAAAAAAGTGACAATTAAAAAGTGAAGTGAAAATTATCTGAAAAATAGAGACAACAATGACAAATCATTGTAAGAAAAATATTTGTCCAATTCTCTTCTAAATTAACTAGAAAAAAATCTATTATATTTTATTATAAAATATAATTTTTGCATCAATCAAGTAACTTTAATTGACATTTAACGAATCGTGACTTTTCAAGTAACTCCTTTTTTTTTAACTAAACACTTATATTCCTTTCTTATGATTATTTTTAGTATCTCCAGAAGATCATTGTCACAGGGAGAGGAATGAGGAGATTGATAAGAAAGCCCGAAAAAAGTTGTTGATCGCCAGTGCGCTCTGCGTTATTTTTATGATAGCAGAAATCGTTGGTAATATAACAAAACGCGTTATCTGTATAAACAAGAATGCTTTGTAAAAATTATACCGTCGCGAAATTATTATAAATTTCCTTCTTATTTTTCTTTTTCTCTTTAGGCGGAGTATTATCGAATAGTTTAGCGATAGCAACTGATGCCGCACATTTGTTGACTGACTTTGCGTCTTTTATGATATCTCTTTTTTCCATCTGGGTCTCCAGCAGACCAGCCACTAGAAAAATGCCTTTTGGTTGGTATCGAGCGGAGGTGAGTATTTTTTTCCCTTTCTCTTTGATGTAGATATTCAGATAAAATTGAGTTAGTTAAACGTGGAATCTTATTGATAAATAAGTATAATTTATATTATTAATTATTTTAGATCAGGACCATCCAATTTGAGCTCCAGAGCCAGAATACAAAGCAATATCAACGTAAAAAAATTCAATGGATACGATTTCGAGGGCTGTAAAATGTTGATACGCATCTGAGTGATGCTTATCAATATTTTACAGTTGAAATTTTATTTACATTGAATTTTTTGTGTCGATAACTGCGTTTTGGCTTCTGAGTTCAAATTGAACAGGCCTGATTTAGATATAAAAGTTAATGATGTGAAGTTAATGAGAAGATGTAAAGTTAGAATAGAGAACAGTATACACATGAAATAAATATTGCATGAAATTTGTTTAAAATTGTTTTTAATTAATTTCGAAATTATTCGTGATGTATTATAATTTATGTGGAGTTGTATCACAAAAGGAAGACAGTTAATACACACAGTGAAAAAATGTACATACATAATAGTAATATAATAATATAGTATAATTCATGATAGTACATTTTCTGTTTTCTACTGTTTTAGGTCATCGGGGCATTGACTTCGGTTTTATTAATATGGGTAGTTACCGGCATTTTATTCTACCTCGCGATAGAAAGAATTGTCCATAAGGACTTTGAATTGGATGCAACGGTGATGTTGATCACGTCTGCAGTTGGTGTTGCGGTAAATCTAGTGTTAGTGATATCATTTAAGACAATATTTATTTAATCTTCTGTACAACGGCAATTCATGCATAACAACATAATACCGTACGATTGTTCCTATAACAATGAAAAGTACAATGTACTTAATGTTCCTGGCGAAAAATTTTTCTCATAATTTTTATATGAATTGGAACATTTTTCAGAAATATTCAGAAATATTCGGAAAGTTTACATCTTCTTTCAAAATTTTTCACACGAGAGAATTCTGAAATATTTTGAAGTTTCTCATCTCATAACAAGAAAAAAATATTTTGTAATTTTTTAGATTTTATAACATTTTATCAGAAATTATATTTACAAAAAATTTTAGAAACCTTATGATATTTTATAATTAACATATATGAAAAATTCTGAGAAAAGACGTAGATTTTCTGAGAAATGTTCCAATTCGTATAAAAAATGTTAGAAAGTTATAAAATTATATGAAATTCTGAAAAATTATATGAAAAATTCTGAGAAAAATTTTCACCAGGAGTAACATTAACTGACCCAAGTAACACATGAAGTTTCGATAACATCGCAGTTTAAATAGCATTTTTGTCACAGATATTGGCATAAAGTCATTGTGTAAAGTCATTGACGTTTTGAAAATTGTAACAGCAAAAACGATATCGAAGCCATTTAAATGCTTAACTATTCTGCTACATAAAGAGGTTGTTACATGTTTAGTTTTGAAATGTTTGCGATAATGTTGCTTAAACTGCACATGTAGCAGAATTGTCGTCACAATGTCATTAGAGCATTTTGACAAAGTTATAAAAGCAAAAATTTTTAATAAAAAGCTAATATTTTTAGTAACTAAATGTCGCAGCCATTTGACTACATAATTTTGCTGTAAAAATATTGTCTCATATTACAGCAGTGGTAGTCGGAATAAAGATAAAAAAAGATAAACTAATAAAGGAAAATGATTTTTGTAAATTAATAAAATCAATAAAAAATCTATAATTTTTTAATTTGTAAAAAGAGAATTTAAAAAATTTCTTTTTTGCTTTAACTTGAATTGAATATCTGGCAATTTCGTTTCACTAAGATAAAATTTAAACATTAATTAATCATTGCAATTATTACAATTTTTATATATATATATATAAAAGTATACTAGCGCTGACAAACATTCATAAACATACAGAACTACGCATAGAATCTTATAAGTACTAATTAATTTTAGAGCCACATAAACGAATGATCAATTTTTTGTTATGATATAACATTGATAATCACGTTACTCTTTACTTTCGATGACATACAAATTACAGCCGAATTTTCCAAACTTTTCATCTTAAAGACTTGTTAGCTATTCACTTTTTAACTTTATTCACTTTAAAAGTAGCAAAATGGCTGAAATTAGTTTTGGTTTTTCTGATAACGTAAAGTCATAAGTGCACTTACAGCTATCATTACAAATAAAATAACTGCGCATTTTGACTTTCTAGTTGTCATAGAGAGTCACTACTATTATAATGCACAGCTAAAGTAGATGTGGCTACATTTTGATCCTTTTTTAAATTTTTTTACAGCCAGACTGTGTTACTTGGCAAGCATCTCCTCATTGCGTATATACTATATAATCGCGAATGATATACGAATTAATTTAAATGTGCGAAATGAGAAATATTTGAGAATTAATTGAATTATATGAATGGCCTGATTTGAATTTTATTTAATTTAAATAAAAAAATTAGCTCAAAATTGTTAGATATAAACTAGTTTTAACAAAATTTTCAGAATTAGCGTCTTTACTTAATTGCTTTAATGTAGAGATTGCTTTAATGTTATATGCATTATATGTATGTGATATTATAGAATGGGCCTGTCGTTGCATCAGCACGGCCACAGTCACGGTGGACACAGTCACGGCGGACACAGTCACGGTGGGCACGATGATGTGGAAAATGGGCATGATGATGATCTCAAAGGCGAGCAATCAAAAAGAAATATCAATGTGCGCGCCGCATTCATTCACGTTTTGGGTGATTTTATTCAGAGCGTGGGAGTATTCGTCGCCGCATTAGTCATTTATTTTAAGGTATCTTCAATTATGTATCTTTCATTAGTAATTTATCAACGTATATTTTTACATACTTTTATCATGTCTCGTGAAATAAAAATAAAACTTTGAAAAGTTATCGTTCTTGCGTTCTTTATATATTTATCTTTTATAGAAGTTTTGTGACTCAATGAACAAACAGGCTTATCTATTGAAAACATAAAACATGACTAATAATCGATTAATATTTCAGCCAAGTTGGAACTTGGTGGATCCAATATGTACATTCCTCTTCTCCATATTAGTTATTCTCACTACAGTGGCGATTATTAAAGATGTAATTAATGTTTTGATGGAAGGTATTCCTAAGGGTTTTGACTATTCACATGTGGAAAACACCTTTATGCAAATAGATGGAGTCGTTAAGGTGCACAATCTTAGAATCTGGGCGCTTTCACTCGACAAGACTGCTCTGTCAGCGCATCTTGCTATAAGTACGTACACCCAAAAATATTCAACATGTGCACTTTTTATATTTATGCATTTTAGTTATGCAACGATGCATTCTTGTATATTCTTAAATTCTTGCACCTATGCTAGATCCTTTTTAACATTATCCTAGATCATTATATATATATTTCTTGATTCAAACTGTATAAATTCTTGCATTTCATCGTTCATCTTTAGACTTCTAAATTTTATTATATATAAAATCATGTTTCGTATTTTTATTATTATTGTCTTATTATTTATTTATATTATTTCGCGATATTTGATTTTTTATTGAAATAATGTGATATTTTCATTCGCAGAACCTGGATCAAGTCCCCAGAACATTTTATGCACCGCTACGCGGAATATCCACGATAAATACAAATTCTTTGAAATGACATTGCAAATAGAGGAATTCAACGAACGAATGGAGAACTGCAAACAGTGCAAGGCGTTATCATAATAAGATATTACTGTTATCGTACTTATGTGTCCTATAGTCACAAAATAAGGGACACAATGTGCAACGAAGATATTTTTAGATTACTATCAACTTCATTACGAATTAAGTTGTTAAGATTACTTTATTCGCGAAAGCATAGCGTACACGCATCACATTGAACTCTTGTTGTACATTTCCTTTTTTTTTTCCTTTCTTTTTTTAACCAGCTCATATAGATACATACGAGCAGTCAATTCGTACAACGCAAGTGTTTATTGTGAATAGTATATTGTGTGTTATTCCGTTATGAGATAAATTATAATTAATTCCATAAATAAATCAAGATATATATCGTCAATTGTTTCAGTTACGATTGTAAATGTTTCTCACATTGATTTTCATACTAATAGATGGATATATTAATCTTTCAAGTTAAAAATTGTAAAAATAATTAATATTTATTTTTAAGAATGACTAGAATGCTCCGATAAAAGCATCGACGAGATGTTATTAAAGACCGGCCAAAGATTTTTCGTGACTATCAAAAGAACCCGAAGAAAGCCCGTCCGCAATTATATAGAGCGATGATATCAATTATTTTGGCTACTGAGGATAACAAACGTAATTTTTAAGGACAGGTTTAATGTTATCCTTCCCAAACAATATATTCAAAAACGAGTCATAAGACATCTTAAAAACATTTTTTTGAAGATGTCTAAAGTTTACCCATATAATACACTTTATCCCAGAGATGTTTCTGCTAACGTTCTCAGAATATCGAGACATTTTCAGGATACTCTTCAGAACATCCCTAGTTTGAACATCTGTGCTGGTAATTTATAACGTGTTCTTTGCTTTCTATTTCTCGTTTTTTACCTCATGTCTTTTTTTTCTTCTTTATGACTGTTTTATTGACAATCGCGTTTCTTTTCACGTATTGCTATTCTTTCGAAATCCATCAATTTTTATTTCGGACGAAAGAAAACAAAAAATTGGATAAGAGGCAAAAAGGCAAGAGGAAAAAACAACCGAGGAAAAAAAATATATATGAATGTTATATATATTATATATATATATATAATATATATAATTATATATATTATATATAATTTTATGTAATTATATAATTATGTATAATTATATGTGAAACATTTTTGCGAGAAAGAGGAAACAAAGAACACATTGTATATTAAGCTTTGATATAAAGACATCTAAAATAGTCTAGAAGATATTTTTAAGACGTCTTATTTGAATTTTTTGTTGCTGTCTGACAATAAGTCTAACAGACCAATACATTTAAATAGTAAATAGTAAACAGTCAGTAATGTCATCGTTCTTCATACATTTAAGTACAAAGGCTAATTCTACAATGTGCTCTTTGTTTCCTGTTTCTTGCTGTTTGTCTCTTATTGACCAAAAAGGCAAGAGACAAACAAAAACGAATTAGCCATTGTAGAATTAGTTCTTTATGTCACGGAAAGGAAGGAAATAAAGCATTTTTGTTCATTTTCTTATACCTTATATACTACATTACGCAAGAGCCTATATTCGCTTTACTTCGGGATTCACTGAATTGCATTCCAAAACTCGATTATGTCAATCCGAGTACTTATTATTTTATCTTCATCAAATATTGAACAAGAATAAGATATTCGAAGTTGACAGAGTAAATATAATAGTCACGATTTATCCAGAGCTGATCGTACTTTTGTAATAATCCCTCCTTGTAAAAGGTGATAAAACCACCTAGCCGATATTATAATTGTAAAGGATATTGTATATATGCAAAAAAGAAAAAAGAGAATAAATAAAAATTATTTGAACTTGAACTCAAGACGATTGTTATTTAATAATATATTCGCTCTGACGAAAATATGTACAAAACAGCTGTTATCACACATACGCGCAATCTCACACTACACATATAAAATCATATACATAAATGCACTCGCATAGGAGATAAGCAAAAATAAGATGGCAACCATCAAGAACAAGTAAGTATATAGGATTCCCAAGGTATGTAAATGTAAAAACCGATAGAAATTTCTCGCGACACTAATTATCGGATAGCTAATTTATTCCTATCTTTATTTACAGATTGGAGAATTGCGAGGTATGCGGCGCGGCTAAGGCGCGATACACTTGCCCGAAATGTGAGGTTAGAACATGCTCTCTCACATGCGTGAATGTTCATAAGAAGGAGTTAGAATGTGATGGGATCCGGGATCCGACCAAGTTTGTCCCTTTAGCGTTGTTTACCGATTTAGATTTACTAAGCGGTAAGAAAATAGACTCCTTTCTTCATTTAAGTTGCCTGAGACATCTTAAAATTTAAAATAACTTGATATTTTCCAGATTATCGCTTTCTCGAGCAAGTTGGCAGATCAATTGATACAAGGAAGAGAAATCCAGAGATAAAATACACTCGTCAAGCTATTCTACCAGTGGTACGATATTCTCTTTTTTTTGCATATATTTTTTAAAAGTGCCACAAAGTCACAATGTCTTCTTTTATAGCACCTACATAAATTGAGATGCGCAGCGTTCTCTAGAAAAGTGTCATTGTTATATATGCCACAAGTTTTCAGTCGGCATAAGGAAAACACTACGTACCTTAACTGGAAGACCAACGAGCTATTCTGGCATCTAGAATGGATTTTTCCACAAGCTGAAAACATAAAGTACACAATAGACAGGTACATAAATATATGTGTCATTTCTGGAAATTGATAAATAGTTTTTAAAAAGTGAATAATACATTATTATGTTTATTATAGAACTCTAGACACCGTAAGATTATCAACATTGGTGGAACAGATTTTAGATCCAGTCTCTGCAACAGATGAAATTGACATCGAAAAATTGAACACAAAATTACTTTTAGCTGATAAATTACAGTTTTATAGAGCAGCTGGGTTAACTAATATCAAAGTTCTTTTAAAAGCCGAGAAAATAAAGAAGGCACAATTCAAGTAAATGTTTCTTTGTTTTCTAGTTTTATGATTAAAGCACTTAATTAATTATAATCGATTATTTTTAGGTTTTATGACTTGGATCTTACGCTTACGTTGCAAGAAAATTTAGAGAATAAGACTATAGTAGAGTTTCCGACATTGCATGTTGTTATGAAAGATCACTCGAATATGTACGATATTATAGATACTGGTAAATATTATCCATTACTACAACCATTATAATGCTATCAATATGTTGTCATAAATCAGTACATTATATACATATTATTTTCTAGATGAAGAAACGAGTGATGCAGAGTGTACAAGTTATGGAGCAAAGAAAAGATACAACAATAAGAGGTCCGATGATAACAAAAAAGATGAACCAGTAAACTATTTCTTCAATGATTTTTCAGATTCTGATAATGAGAATACGGACAATAAAGTAAAAAAGAAGAAAAGATCGCTTAATATACCAAATTATGAAGAGTTAATAAAAATGTAAAAATTACGTCACATTATAAATATTGACTTATATATGGATATTTTTATTGTAAATACATCATTATAATTTTAATACAGATGAAATACAAACGTAGCAACATTAATGACGTGTATGATCGTCTATAATACATTTTTTTCTTAATTGGTTCCTTTTCCACATATACTAATGATATATATATCCGCACACCACCCAAAAATATAACCGCACTCAAATAATAAATATATCTTTTTAAATTTATACTAACTCGGGACTCTCTTTACAAAAGGACTTTACAAAATGTATGATTCAACAAAAATATGAAAATCCAAATATAAAGAATGATAAGATATGACAATCCAAATGTAAAGAATGATAAATCTTTTATCATGAAAAAATTCATGGTATCTCTACTAAAAAAATTTTTTATTCCAGTTGATATTGTAGAGATAATTTATTTTTCATTGTTACAACAAACTACGAAAATAAATAAATCACACAAATATTTGTTACAATATGTTTTTAAAATGATGGCAAAATGATATTGTACAGTTTTTATATAGAAATTACTAGATCCCTTCACAAGATTATTAGAACGAGTCAATGAAACTTTATAAAAAATTATACCTATTCATTTCTACATAACAAAAAATTTTGTCACCGAGCAATGCTAAAAAATCATTGAATATTTTGTTATATACTATTTTTTTATAAACATAATTTTTACATGGATCGGTTTAAATATATCAATACAATATAATTACATTTTCGCAATTTTTATATCTTGTATGTGAAAGTTTTCATTTTTCACTTCTATAAATATAAACGGATGTTGGAATCACACAAATACTTCGCAATTATGAGAGAGATAAACAAAAATATTCTATCCTTGAAAATGGAATACCTTTGATGTATAATATCGAAGTTTTTTTTATTCGTGTTGTTTAACTAAAGAATGAAGAAATATAACAAAAAGACCAAAAATGCAACAAGACCTGCAACAGCTTTCACGTACATCGATTTGCTGTTTAGATGTCTCGCGTCTTTTTTATACTTTTGTGACAACATAGACAAGTTTTGAGTCTTTGAATCCAATTCTGCAAAATACAAATAATATTTTAGTACATTTCTACATTTCTTTTTACACAAACAGAACAATTCTACATTACCTGAAAGTACAGTACCCCTTTGTAAAACATCGTCAATATTTTGTACCATGATTCTTTGCACATCTTGCAACTGGCTGTTAAGTGTATTCAAATTTCTGCGAGATCTACTGTCCATAAAGATCTTCTTGGCTTTTTGAATGTATGTATCTAAGAAACAAACAATGTAAAGCCAATGCGATATATTCAATAAGACGCGATATATTCACAGTTATCTATAGCGTACCAAATTCAATAAAAGTATAAGGCCTGGTCACTGTATTTACACGTTTTCCGTACTGAGAATGAAACTCTTGTGCTATATCTTCCAGATAACTGTAAGCTATGCGTGTGCTGTAATTCCTTTCGCATAGTACCAGATAACACACCTCATTTTCGATTAAATAACTATAAACAAAGTACAATATACAATTGTTTCAAAATACATAGATCAAACATGCTAAGTACGTGTTTAGATTCTCTACTTGAATAGCCCAATGTATCATTTTGATTTTTTAATTTTTATTACAAAGTTACAAAATCATTTTATTTCACTTTAATAGGGATATTTATTAATTCACAATTAATAAGGACACAATGATATAGTGGGACACTCAGATGGAGAATTCAGTCCAACTATTACTTACTGAAAAAGATACGGTCCAGTTTCGAGGGTACACTTAGTCGGAGATTGTGGACCTAACTTTCTGAATAGCATCTTTGCTTGATTTTGATATTCCACAATATTCTTACCATCCTATGGCACAGAACAGAATATAATTTCCATAAGTTTAATAAAATATAAAATAAAATATATAAAGATACACACATAAATTACATAAATATATATAAACATAAATAAGTCTAATAAAATACAAGTATACAGATGCCAGTCTAAATATTGATTTGCTCCAAAAATTTAAACTTTTCTGCCATTTCCACCAATGTAGATTTACTTGAATCTCTGTTCAATTTATTCTTCGTCTTTCCTAGATATAAAAATTAAAAAAAAAGATGAAAAGTAAGTTGGAGCAAAATTAAAGTTAATTACACTGGTGGAAACAGACAGTACTTTAACAAATAAATTTCATGATTTCTTCTTCCATATTGTCAGTAATAAGACTTCCACGGACGCATCGAGTTAATTGCAGAAGTAAAGTGTGACGGCTAATTGTAAGAAGGAGGTGACGTTTTATCATAGCATACGTCTAACCTGCTCGTTGTCCTGCATGGTGGCCGCCAGTGGCAGGCCGTCTGCCACCCTCGCGATTATCGTGAACAGGACCATCTTATCGAGGATCTATTCACCGATCTCGTCTGGAATGAGCGAGGAGAAGAATTAATCGTACAATCGTCGCGCTGCTTCGCGACTTCAACGTCCGAAGACCATTCGCGCGTAACTGATCGCCGATGTGGCCGCCGCGCGTCCACTCCCGACCCACCACGTCAGTCGATCCTGTCGATCTGCGCGCCGATCGCTCGGCCAACGATCGCTTATCCGCCGAGTGCGAGTGAGCACCGTAACGCTTTGCGTTATCACCGGCAGCCGACGTAAGAGTCGGTGTCGTCGGTGAGCGCATCGCGAAGAGATCAAATACACGGATCCCTATTTTTTATTCCTCCACCAAACCGCAAATTCTTTTTCCCGTTTTCGCCAAATATCAAACACATATCCATTCTACTTTAAGTATCAAAAGTGTACCCTAGCTACAGAAAACGGACCTACGACATATGCGAGTGCGCGTGCACGCGACGTTCGCGCACTCGTCTCGCGCAGGAAATTTAACTCGCCGCAAGTCGCAAGGAAACGAGTCGAAGCGCGCGTTTTCGAGGTGGATGATTACCCGCTGCTGTCGCGTAATCGTGAGAATTCGATTTTCTACCTGAAGAAATAAAAAGAATTTCCTAATTGAAAAATATACCATTGGTGCCTCGTTCGAATCGACCCGGCGGTCGCCATCTTGCGCGCGCAATCGCCGCGGCGCGACGCTCGGCTTCCGGCCCCGGTTTTTGACGTTCGTCCCCGTTCCGCTCGCGTGGAAAGTTGCCGTGG